TATTTTGCCCAGCCAGACTGCGGCAGGTGAGAGATAGAGGTTTAATTTCATTTTGTTGCATATGGATTTCCAGTTCTCCCATTTGTTGAAGAGGCTATCTTTTTTTCCAATATATGTTTTTGGCGCATTTTGTCTAGTATGAGATAAATGTATTTATGTGGGTTTGTTTCTGTGTTCTGTATTCTGTACCATTGGTCTACAAGTCTCTTTTGGTGCCGATACCATGCTGTTTTTGTTACTATTGCTCTGTAGTATAGTTTAAGATCTGGTATAGTGATGCCACCTGCTTCATTCTTCTTGCTAAGGATTGCTTTGGCTATTCTGGATCTCTTATTTTTCCAGATGCATTTCTTGATTGCTTTCTCTAGTACTGTATGAAGTCATGCATAGTATGACTCTACTTTGTGTACAACCAGAAACATGAAAAATTGTACTCTGTTGTGTACTATGAATTGAAATGCATTCTGCTGTCATATATAACAAATTAGAATCAATGAATCAATCAATAAAACATTATAGTGTGGGGTAAAAAGTTGGATAATGATGCATACAGCTATTGTGTCTTCTGGAAGTTTTCTTCACAAAACTGAGTCTCAAGGGTTTGAAAATAGGTCTCTCATGTGTTGGATCTACTTAGTCTCTGGCAATCTTATTAAAATCTAGCTTATGGTATGGTTATATTATCAGAATTTTGTACCTAAGGAGAACTAGTTATAGCTTGAGACTAAAGATATCACTATAGCTGATGTAAAACTGAGCCTCCTTTATTAGACCCATTATTCTTATTCCTAGATTCTTAGAACTCTGAAAAGCATTAGAAAATGATTTTTTAATTTACTATATCTATAGAAATCTAGATGCTGGAAAAAAATGCAGTCTTTTTTTTTCAGTGCTGTCAGTTCTGACCAATGTTATGATAAAAATGAGACTACTAAATATGATTTCTAAATCTGACTTTGTATCACTTTTGTATTTTAATTAGAGTTCATGCTGAAATGTGAAAGAATAGGTCCTATGAGGGGGAAAACATTCTAAAACACAGAAAAAAGTTCATACTTCTCATGTATGTGGGTGAAATATACAGGAATTTCTAATTATAGATTTGTTGCCTTGAAGCTCTTCATGAAAATATGACAGATTGGAGAAAAAAGAAGTGGCACCATGGAAACTCAGTCGAGAGGACTTAGGTCTTCAAGGTCTGAGGAAGAAGGCAAAAATAGAAAATACCCTGGTCTGTGAAAGAGAACAGGAAGTCCACATTCCTGGAGGCTTCACAAGATCACTTGGCTCTCTTGCAAAGGGTGCCTGTCCTTCCTGGGAAGGGGCCCATCAACTGAGGTACAGACCTGTCCTGGGGAGCTCTGTGACTCCACAGCACAATTTATTCAAACCACGACTCCTGGTTGGATGACAGCTGAGAGGGAGAACATTCTGTATTTCTTGAAATCATTTTTTCTCCCTAGAGGAACCTGTATATTACAATCCATATAGAAGAGTGCAGGAAAATGAACGTGAAAAAAACAATGAATGATTTTTCTTTGACACATGAGAATTAAGAGACACTAATTCCTTTGGAGCTTATTTCAATAATAGAGAATGAAACTGACAATTAGGATTCCAAGTTTCTTCTAAGAAATCACCTTATTAATTTTTATGTGTGACAAACTTCAAATACTATACTTGGAAGGAAAGATGTGGAGACAATGAACTTAAGAAAATAAAAAGGTTAACCTTACAGCATTGAGTGTGAGTGCATACACATTTGTGTGTGTGTGTGTGTGTGTGTGTGCGTGTATGTGTACACATGCATAGACTTTATTGCTATCACATCAATATCTACAGATGATGGGTAGCAGGAATGGCAGCTGCTAAAATGCATCTGTGTGCCAAATTACATGGGCTGGGGTTGTAGCTCAATGGTAGAGCACTTGCACGTGCAAGGCCCTGGGTTCGATTAAATAAAATGAAGGTATTGTGTCCAACTATAACTGAAAAATAAATATTTTTTTTAAAAAAAAGTAACAAAAGCTTCCTTTTAATTTGGATTGAAAAAAATAAATGTCTTGATGAGAATTTCTTACCTTCTGCCGAGGAATGGCTGATTTATTTTCAGTTTTTGCTGTTTGTGGTTTGGACAGAACAGACAGTGTCTTCATGTTGTATTCCTGTACTTGTTTTGCATATTCTTTTTGCTGTATTAATTTTTGCATCTGTTCAGAGAGACAGGGTTGTGATGAATCACAGATCCTGATGACCCTCTATGCTCTCTATTTAGAGTGACACTAGTTTAAGTGAGCTGGGCATATTCAATTGGCAGCACAGGAGACATGGGATTGCCACATGCAAGGTGATGGCAGTGACCTGGTTAAGCTAATGTTTCTCCTAGAGAGCCTCTGTGATGAGGAACATCACTGCGATAGCTCACTCAGTGTTCCCTTAACAGAGGCTAAATCACATTCAGTCCCTTCTTTGTTGCATTTACCCAATTTATTTTCATTTTTGCTTCCAACTTTGAACTATACTCTCTTTTTATGCCTGAGTGCAACTGCAGTTAAAGCACATTAAATGAAGATCTCCTTTCACTAGAGAAAAGAGAATAAAATGGATGCACTTCTCAGGGGCCAGGGAAGTTGTACCTAAGTGTCTTCTCTGTAGCCACTTTTCAAAATTATCCAGATAACTCTTTCTGGAAAGACCAACAACCATATAACACAAACATTCCCTTTCCCATACATGCATGTGTCCTGCTTCTCTGTGCAGACCTTCCAAACAAACGGAAGGGCAGGGGTGCATAAAACAATGCTGGGTGAGTAGTGTTTTCATATGATAGTAAAAAGTGTGTCTGGGCTTCTCTTTCATTACCTGGGCTGTTTCTGAAGGGACTGTATTCAATGTCAGGCATTGCATAGGGGCTCGATTCTGGGGATCATCTCGATGCAGTTTGGTGAAAAGACAGATGGGTGAAGTCAGGCCTGAAAAAAACTTACGTACAACTCACTCACTTTTTCTCTGACAGATTCCAAGTCAGGTCCCAGGCCTCCAAGCTTCACATCTCTTTTTTGATAACCTTTCAGCTTGGAACTCTAAAAACAACACAGAAACAGTTTCTTTTAAGAACTTGGGCTCTTCTCAGCAATAAGAGGCACATAAAGGAAGAAGGAAAGGGAAGAATAGACGCCTGTGTGGATGGGGACATTTCTTGGTAACTTTTTCCATTTTAATGGTAGTAAGTTGGTAATAGTCTCTTAGGGAATTTGTAGCTGGTTAGCTAACATGTTATGACTTATCCACTTTTATAATAAAGAAAACTAAAATTCTGAAAATCATAAATAAAAAATTTCAAGTTTGTTGTTATTATTTTGATACTGGGGATAGACCCAGGAGCACTTCATGACTGGCACTTTACTATACCCCTTTTTGTTTTTGATTTTGAGATAGGGTCTTACAAAGTTGCTGAGGTTGGCGTCAAGCCTGCAGTCCTCCTGTCTCAGCCTCCTGAGTTGCTGCGATAACAGGTGTGTGCCACTGTGTCTGGTTGTTTGTTATTAATGATTTTAAGACAACATATACTTTACTGCTTTGCCACTGCTGCTATTCCTATGCTGTCAAGTCTTGGGCAGTTTGCTAAGCCAAATGACTTCCCTGGACGAGGCAATCTAAGCACATCAGATGAGCACATTGCTTCAAAAAAGAGGGAACCTGTTCAATGAATTTACAGTACTGCATGTTATGGATAAGGTAGAAGAGAAGCAAAGAAAGTAGAAACTTTAAAATTTTACTATTGATTGTTGGGGAAAAAAAGATAGTTTTAAGGAAAAAACCAACTATAATCAATTCATAATACTCAAAAGAAAGTTAGCATTTAAGAGTCTTGGTGAGGACCACTTAGAAATTCATTCTGTTCAGTCAGTATGATTTTGGATATTTTGAAGGACACACAGAATTTTACACTGTAACTCCTATTAGTATTACATACCCGAGAGGACTGAGCAACAGAGTCAGGCAATTATTAGATTCTGAGCACAATAGTAGGCAGGAAAAGCCCCAGTGTTCTCTGGACCACAGGGAAGATGAAGATATTCTCCCGAACTGCAGCTTTCAACACTGAAGTTTAGATTTGCTACTTCCCCTTGTGGGGAAACCAAATCCTTTTATTTTTCAGTTCATTAATTAATTTGGTTTCCTTTCTGGGAGGGGCAGGAAAAACAATACCAAAGAGATGGTTTGTTTGACAGGGATGATTTTAGGTTCATATAAATTTGTGCTTGGAATGGAGAAAAAAATAACCATCTCAAAGAGGACATGTTCTGTGCTGACTGGGCATGATGTCAGTATCAGGCACAGCATCTTCATAAAACTTGGATGTTCCTATTGATTATGACATGAAATCCTACGATAGACAATTTATCTAGTGAGCCCTTTTCTAAAATAGAATCTGGAAAAGATAGTTAAAATGCCAGAAAAACATTTTACCATATGAGATATAATTTCTCCATAAAACTCAACAATCTTAAGAAGAAACTGATGTAAACTTGTGGTACCAACCTTTATAAAAAGGTGTCCTACTCACAGTGATCTAGTGTTCACCCCAGATGCATTTCGATTAGCTTCTTCATCACCTCCTCCCATTTTAGAGACTCAAACGCCAAATATGGTTGTGCCTCATTATCCAAGCGGGGACAGTTCCAGAACATTTCACAGATAAGAAAATCCAAGGATACTCAAGTATCTTATATGAGGTGGTAGAGTGTTTGGATATAACCTATATATGTCCTCTTGTGTACTTTCATTTCTAAGTTTGCTTATAATACCTAACACAATGTAAATGCTAGGTATAGATCTGTTATATTATATGTATGGTTTAGGGAATGACAAGAAAACAAAGTCTGTACATGTGCAGTACAGATGTGATTTTTAAAAAGATATTTTCAACCAGTGTTGAAAGGATATTTCAAAATCATAAATCTTCTTTAAGAGAAGCCACTCCCAAGCAAAACCACTATGGTTGCTTCCTGTCTATTTTATCCTTCTGTACTTTTATGAAATTGTCCACACGTGCTGGGTGTGGTGGTGTTCAATAATCCCAGTGACTCAGGAGGCTGAGGCAGGAGGATTGCAAGTTCAGGACCAGCCTTCACAACATAGGGAGACCCTGTCTGGAAAAAAATATTTAAAAAAGGGCTGGGGATGTATCTCAATGGTAAAGTGCTTCTAGGCTCAATCCCTAGTACCAAAATAAAGTAAAATAAAATTGTTACTTTTCCTTTAAGCATTTCAGCATTACACTGTATTTTCCACTAAATGGTCTTCAAAAATGAGACTTTTAGGCATGATATTCTATAGTCTAGTTATAGTTAATTGTTTAACTATTTCTCTAGACACTGAACATTTATAATGCCCTGAGGTTTGTGGGATACTCTATTTCTTTGAGTAAATTAATATAATTGTAATTATTAAGATAAAATGAACATGTTTAAGGCCATGGGTAGCATTTCCATTAGCAATGGAGTAGTAAGATAGCTGTTTTTGTCAAAACCTTGATTATAATGGGTATTATTACACTTAAAAACCTTTAGTAATTTTTAATAGGTCAGTGAACTCAGAAAATTAATATACTTGCATCTGTGAATTTGTTCTTCTCACATATGCCCTCTGCATCATTGTTTTGTAATCACTAAATCACTATTTGCCAGAGTCAACCAATAATGAAAAGGAAGAGGAAAAAATCCCACTCATCTCCAAGTCATAAATCCAATTTGTCCAAAGATGATGAGAAAGAAATGATCAGTGCCCAGAAATCTCATCCTTAGTCTGAATCAGCTTAACTTTTAATCATTCCACTGACTCACAAAAGACACATTGTGAAGCATGAATAATTGCTCACTGACCTCCAGCCACAGTTCTAACTATCACCTCAAATAACATCTTAGTTAGCAGAGAAAACCAGGGCCCAGCACTGCACATACATATCACATGGAGGGAGAGCGTGTGGCCCAAACGGGTCATCCCCCAGTGCCGTCGATCCCTTTACAGGACCAAGTGCCCTTAGCAAAGGAACAATTCTCAAGGGACCACGGTGGCTCCTCCTAGCGAAGCTTGTTCTGGGTGACTGGCAATGAAAATCCTGGATTTGCTTCAGTTTGGCGCAAGTAATCTTGAACTGGTTCTCAGCACTGTGATTCTGTTTGATCTCTCTTCATCTAAGTCTTTTTTAACAGCTTTATTGAGAAACAATTCACATACCACAAAATCCACCCATTTGAATTTGTACAATTCAATGGTTTTTAGTTTGTTCACCAAGATGTGTGAAACATCACCACAATCCAATTTTAGAACAGTTTCATCACCTTAAAGAGAAACTCTTGTACCCAACAGCACTCACTCCCTATCCCCTCCCCCTCTACTCCTAGGCAACCACTAATCTACTTTCTGTCTCTTCAAAAGTCTGTAATAGAAAATAATCCCCAGAATTCACTTTGATTTACCTCTCCTTGGCTTTTACAAGACTAAAAGGTCATAGTAGCACAATGCCAAAATAATCAACATCATCATCATCATCCAGCACTGATAACCCCATTAAGTCTCTGAACATAGGGGGACAAATTAGGAAATACAGGCATGCTCTCAACAAACCCTTGACTGCAGCTAGTCTTTGCATAAGACACACAGCTGACTTGGGCCCACTCCTGCCCTATCCCTTGAACTGTGTGGCTTCAGCAGATAGTGGCAAAGGGCTTTTCTGATGGAAGGTTTCTACCAGTAATTAATTGCAATTCTTCTCAAGCCAGACCAGTGATTTTTTTTTTTTTTTTTTTTACTGAAAACTCAGAATACACTGAGCCTGAATTGAGAATGACATTGACTGTTTCATGAGGACTTGTTTTAACTCTGAAATATACCTGCTGTGAGGGACACTGCAGGGTTATTCTCCAGAAAATTCCTTGGATGTGTAAGTGTGAGAAAGTTACTGAAAAACAGGACAAAAGACAATGCCTCAAATACTCGGTAACAGCAAGTGAAGGAAATTTGCTCTGTGGTTGCTAAACTTAATCCAAATAAACCTCTTCTTTGAAGCAGTTAAGCAGCAATGCCCAGATTGTCTGTGACAACAAACTCATGAGTTAATTACTGCAGCTCAACAGTCAGCTGCTGGAGACCGCTGTAAGCAGTTATTTTGTGGTGGGCTGTAACACTGCACGTATATTTTTATACTGTTTGTCATCCTTTGCACAATGTTAATCTCTTAGTGGCTGAGGTCTGTGTTGAATGGTGGGGACAATGGCTGGTATGCACAAGTCAGCCACAACCGATCTGCCAGAAGAAGGAGGGGGCTTGGGCCTATTATCTTTATAAATCCTCAAATTTTTAATGTGATTCAGGGTGATTCCCTTGGAAACCACGAGATTTGATGTGACTAATAAATGGGCATGACCTGGATAATGATTCCTCCTGTCTGGTGCCCTGGCTACCTGCTGTCCTATACAAATAGCTCAGTTCTAAGTCATTTTAGTTTCTGGGATAGCTTAAAGCACAAAGAGAGCTTCTGTGTATTTGTCAGATGCAGGTTGAAGGTGTTGACTGAGAAAAATGGATACATAGGGATTGTAAAATTCTGAACAGAAAGCAGGAAGGGAGGGATGATTTTCCCAGTTGGAAAGAGTGTTTGGGAAGCAATAACTGGAAATTCTCCTTCCTCTTTCCTACCTTACCATGCTTTTAGATTTCTGATGATGCACACTATTACCAAGGTACTTCTTCTACCTTTTCTCAGTAAAACATGAATTCAAATTAGAGAAGGAGGAAGAAACAAGAAACTAACATTTGGCTGATGTCTATTCTTTGCTAGGAAATAAATTTTTAAAATACTATTTTACTTAACCACTCCAAATCTACTAAAAGAAAAAGTAATTCTGATTATGTATATGAGGAATTGGGGGCTCAAGTAAATGAGTCACTTGCCTGAATCCCAGGGTATTAGGTAATAGGGCTGAGACAGAATTTGGCAATGACTAAGTCTATGACTGCCACTAAGTTCTCTCACTGAAAACTGAGTTTAAAAATGCATCTTCAACAACAGCCCGAAGCTGGACTTTGAACGGACAGGGAAAGCAGTCTGCTGAGGTAGAGTGTTTGAGCTGCACTTTAGGCCCTGGTAATCTATGGCTCTGGAGGAAACAGGCTACCTTCACCTTGACTGCGTGTTGGTTCCAACCCTCTAAATGCTTTTCCCCATAGAAATAATAATATGATGATGTCCAGCTTCCTAGTCTGGTCTAAAAAAACTACAGGAATAATTGAACACAGTACTAATTGTACCTTTGAACCTAACTACTAAGCAATGACATTTCTGTGGGAAAAGAGTGACTGCAGTGCCAGAAACACATGTCTCCTTATTTATAGTGTAACTGAGGATTCTCCTAACTTTAAACTAGCTTCAAACTGGGGATTCTCCAGCTCCGTGCCTGGGCAGGGACTGTGGACCCCAGAAAAGCAGAGGATATGGGGGGATGGAGTTAAGACAGGGCATTTGAAGAGCCTCCGAGTGTGGGTGTGTGAAGGAGCTGGGCTGAGCACCCTAGCGCTGTGAGTGAGCTGAAGACCTGGATGGAGAACAGAGAGGTTGCAAGGCAGGAGCTGCAGGTGTGAGCTGGGTCATCCCCCAGTAGCAAGCCATCCTCCCCTTCTTCTCTAATAATATGACTGCTGTTCACTTTCAATCAGCATCCCCTTTTTCTCTTTGAGACCACTCCTTTTCTTTTTCTCGGAGAAGTCCACGTCATAGCTCTGTTGACTTCAAAATCCTGTAACTTCTCTATACATCTTGTAGCTGCCCTGTGCACCATAATCTGAGAGATTTTTTGTACAATACAAATCTGACCATGCTTAAAGTTCCTCAATGGTCCCATTATGGCCTACAGAATAAGGCCCTTCTTTGAATGAACAACAGAATCCTCTAAGACTTGCCCCTAAGTCTCTGCCTGCATCTCTCCACACCCCGTGCTTCTCAGCTTCAGTCACAGCAACCGAAGTGCCTCTACCTTCCTGACATGCGCCATGCTGTCACAGCCCAAGGAGCTGTGACACTGTGGAGTCTGCCCCGGCTGAAATTCTCTTTAGTCTTTCTTCTGTGCCAGCTCTTGACATCTTGTAAGACTCAGCTTGCAATTATCCCCAGAGCATGGTTTGATCTGCAGGTCAGGACATGTATACTCTTTGTGTCCCTTGGTGCTCCTTTTGATACTTATTTACCATTTATATGACTATCTTTCCCAGATGCAAAGCTGCTTCTGGGGGAGGGCCATGGCTCATATGTCTTTTACATTCCATCACCTGCCACAGTTTCTAGCAGGATTTAATAATTACATATTGAATTAAATTAAGGAATTGTTTTCTTAATGCCTCCCCCCCCCTCCAACCAAAACTGACCTAGAGTGGATACCCTTCTGGACTGGAGCACTCAGTGGCCCAGCTGCTGGGCGTGCTGTCTACTGATGGCTCACAGTTGAGTCTCTCCCTAATCCCTGCCTGCAGCCAAATGGAGCTGCTGTGCCCAAAGACACAAGCCTTCCTCAGGGTGGACGCTAGTCAATGTCTGGTTGATGAAGGGGAGCAAAAGTCTGGGTCCCCTGCCTTTGAACAACCATCCTGACTTCAGAGTCTACAGAACCTTGCCTGCAGCTTCTGTCACAGCTATGCCACTGCCTACTCCCTCCCTCTGCCCAGTCTTGCCTCTGTGCTCCCTTACAAGGTGGTTCCTGAGGGCATCCTCAACCAATCCCCTGCACTCAACTCTCCATGCAGTTTGCTCCCAGGAAACCAGACTCCTCACAGGCCTATTATTTCCAACCAGGCCTTTGCCAGTTGACCTGTAAATCAGAATGTATTTTCCAGCTGTTTCTTTACTATCTGTTATGACTAGATATGGGTTGAGGGTGCCCGCAAGGGCTCATTTTGAGTCCCAATCCTTAGTATGGAAGTGTTGGGAGGCATTATGACCTTTAAGAGGTGGAAATCCAGAGGGAGGTTGTTGGGTCATTGTGGGGTCTGCCCTCAGAAGGAAGTCAGGTAGTTCTGTGGGAGCCTGAGTTAGTTCTTATGAGAGTGAATTGTTACAAAAGTGATCCTGATCCCTGAATCACTCTCTGGCTTCCTGCCTTATGATATGACCTCTCCTTTTTGCACAGACTTCGGTCATAAGGCCTTCACCACAGCCAAGCTGATACTGGTGCCATGCCCTTGAGCTTCCAGAATTGTGAGCTAAATAAACCTGTTTTTGTAAAATAAAGTAGGCTACCTCAGGTATTTTGTTACAGTAATAAATAACAAACTAATACACTATTTGACCCTAGAACCAGGTCATCTTTCCTGAGGTGTTTTTATTGCTTTAAACAGTAGAGAAATAAATAGGACATAAAAAGATTTAAGTGCACAAAGGGGCTAGTAATGGCAAATCTTATTGTAGACAAAGAATTCTGCAAATAGCAGCTAACATTTTGGAGGAAAGTTCAGTCATTGACCAGCCTAGGTACTTCACTGCAGAAGCTGGGTGAGGTGAGATCAGGGGCAAGGAGCTAGTATGCGGTGGTGGGGGAAATGCATGGCAACAGGGGCTTTTACCCCTTCAATCCTACTTTTTCTTCTATTCAGAAATGAAAATGTATGAAGACTCAGTTTAGAATAGGGGTTAGGGTGGGGTGGGAAAGCTTTTTAGAAGACGTGGTATTTAATCTGGGGATAAAAAGAAGATCATTGCCTCTCTGTAAATGCAGACCCCTTCCCTGAGATGACCTGAAACAGGGGTGGGAATGGGCATCCCTGCCAAAAACTTCTAGAAAGAAGGGAGGGAAATTCCAGGGAGTAACACAGGCTAGAGGAGTGATATTCTTTTTTTTTTTTTTTTTTTTTAAAGAGAGAGTGAGAGAGGAGAGAGAGAGATAGAGAGAGAGAATTTTTAATATTTATTTTTTTTTAGTTCTCGGCGGACACAACATCTTTGTTGGTATGTGGTGCTGAGGATGGAACCCGGGCCGCACGCATGCCAGGCGAGCGCGCTACCGCTTGAGCCACATCCCCAGCCCCAGGAGTGACATTCCTGGGACCTTGGGTCACCTGGTTGTGGCAGCAGTTCAGTAATAACCATCCCTATTCCAGGGCTATGATTCATGGGGAGAAAAAAAAAAAAAAAACAGGTGCATCAGTATTATCAAAATTAAAAAGTTCCTGGGTAATAACCAGTGCCTTCTCACCTTAATGCTGTTCCTTTTCCTGTGTTTTTTCCCTTTTTCCAGTTGAAACAGATAGCCTTCAGAATTGCTACGGATAATTTTCACTTGGTTTCTTTGGCTTCTCTCTGGACTGAGTTGGGATTCACTTTCTACCCTTGATGAGATGGGGGGGAGTATGATGCTAGAAGAGGACCCTTTACTGGGCTGCACGTCGGTCAGCTGCACCAAGGCTTGCTGATGCTGCTCCATTATCTGAGTGAGCCGTGAATCTGGGGAAGCTCTGACAGGTTGGCTGTCCGAGGAAGGATGGAATTTCCTTTGGAAAAGAATACACATTTGTGACTAAAACTTGAATACATAAGACCGCTAACAGTAAAGTTCTTATGAGCCATTAACTTGGTGTATTTATCACTCCTCAACTCAAATGAATTAATTTGAGCTAATTCACTCATTAATGTATTAATTTCTTAAAAAAATCTTCCTTTTCCATAGGATATTCTAACTCTGCTTAGAACTTTCACTTAGTGCATTCAGAATAGAAGTGTATCATTTTGAGAAGTCGAAGAGTTTCCCACTTCAAAAATACAAGAAATGTTGGATTAAATGAAATCAATATCTTTTATGTACACAGTTGAATTTGTATGAGAGGAAGGAAATCTCCAGGGAGGAAAACCAAAAATGAACTGAAGTCAGAGCAGATTTTGGATGAGGTAAAGCTATGGCTTTCTTTGTGGGCTGTTTGGGTTTAAGGGCGTCAGTTTTAATACTCAATACTGGTACAGGATATGTGAGATTTGGGGCCAATGTGAACATAAGTTCATCATGTAAAATCCTAGTACATAAAGGGAAATGATCATCTACCAAGTGTGAGGGTTAGCAGACATATACACACACACAAATAGTAGTAGTAGACTTCTGCAAGCTTTAGATAATAGAATATGTTAGATAGCATTCATAAAGTATGTATAAAATGATTGGAAACATGAAAGAAGAAATCAAAATTCTGAGAAATATATTTTTAAAAACTTATTTTGAACAAAAAACAGGGAGGTTTTACTCATAACCAAGTAGAAATTCCAGACATGAAAAATACCATTATTTAATTTTAAAATCCAACAGAAAAATTAAGAAAGCATACTGGACATAGTTGAAAAGGAAATTATTGCACTGGAAAACCTACCTGAGGAAATTTCTCAGAAAGAAGCAGAAACACAACAGGTAAAATAAGAAACAGAGTTAAAACACACAAAGCCTAGAATCAAAGAATTTAATACATATCTACCTGGTGTTCCTGGAAAAGGAAGTAGAGCCAATTTGGGAGACACAATATTCATAGGAAAACGGGTAATCATTTTTTCAAAATTTATAAAAAGAGATGACCCTCAGATTTAGGAATCACAGAAGGGATTCAAGTAGAACTAAAAATTTCATTCCTATATACATCATAGTGAAACTTCTAAACACTAAAAACAAAGAAGAGGTTTAAAAGCCAACAAGAGGGCTGGGGATGTGGCTCAAGTGATAGCGTGCTTGCCTGGCATGTGTGCGGCCCGGGTTCGATCCTCAGCACCACATACAAACAAAGATGTTGTGTCCACCGAAAAACTAAAAAATAAATATTAAAAAATTCTCTCTCTCTTACAAAAAAATAAAGTTCTAAACCCACTTATTAAAAAAAATAAAAAATAAAAACCAACAAGAGAAAGTAAAAAACAAAAAGAATGATAATTACATTGACAAAGGACTTTTCAAGGCAACACAGAAACCAGTAGACAAAAAAATAATGCTTTTAAAAAGTTGAATTTTTTTATCAGGTTAAACTATAATTCAAGATTGTAAGAGAAAGGAATTTCAGGTAAATCCCAGTGACATACACTTGCTGAAACAACTTCTAAAGAAAACAGAATAAAATGAAAAAATGTGAGGCAAAGAAATTAATAAACAATTTGGTTAACTCTAAAATACCATTTACTCTCTACAATAATAAAAACAATGACTAATTTTTGAGATATAAAGAACTGGACAAGTTGCTAGACTAAGCAGTATGTAGACAAGAAAAGAGATTGTATTTTTAATGTAATGACCCTGAACATGTCTAGAAAAGAGCATAAATATTGATTTAACATGAGGCTAGTTAAATATGTAAGTTGTGTGTGTGTGTTAATAGAATAGAGTGTTGGGTGTGGTGGTACATGCCTGTAATCCCAGTGACTCTGGAGGCCTAGGCAGGAGGACAGTGAGCTAGAGACCAGTCTGGGCAACCTAGTGAGATCCTGTCTTGAAATAAAATAAAAAGGCCTGGGGGATATAGCTCAGTGGTAGAGTACTCCCGGTTTCCATCCCCAGTAGCCACCCCCAATACCCATCCTCACCCACCACAAGAGTATCTGCAAATAAGTAGAAGAAAAAAGTAACAAAGAGAACTCTCTAAGTTTAATAAAAGAAAAAGAGTAAAAAGAAGCATGGCGAATGTAGGGTAACTAGAGTGGTCAAATTAAGGTGGTAGAAACAGATCCACCTGTATGAGTACCACGATAAATGTAAGCAGTTTAAAGTCACTAGATACAAGTGAGTTTATGATTGAATAAAGAAACAAATTACAACAACACACTGTTTTTTAAAAGAAAGGCTTAAGATAGAACCATACTGAAAATTTTAAATATGATAGAAAAAATGTACTAGATTCAATTCTAATCATAAGAAAGTGAATGAAGCTATATTAATATCAGCCAACATAAACTTTAGTCAAATAGCATTATTGGAAATAAAAATATTCATTACATCATGATTAAAAGAAGAATTCACCAGGAAAATATATAATTATTAACCTGCATGTACCTGATCATAAAACTTCAAAATATATAAAATGAAACTAATAGAATTATGAGGTGACATTAGCAATTCTTTTTTTTTTTAAGCACTGGGGATTGAACCCCCAAGCTCTCACACATTCTAAGTAAGCACTCTACTATTGAGCTGTGTCTCCAGTCCTTTGGTTGTTGTTGTTTAGGGACAGGGGCTCTTTAAGTTGCCCAGATTTGTGTTCCTCCTGAAAGGAACATCCCAAGTTGTTGGGATTGTAGGCATGTGCCTCTACAGCCAAATATAGGGAAATGCCAATTTGCCAGGGTCAGAAACTAATATATCAATCATGGAAACCTAATCAGGCTTCAGAAGATTTTAATAACATATGTAACAAGCTTTCCCTAATTTAAATTACAATCATGTGCTGCATAACACGGTATTGATCAACAACAAACTACATGTAAAGAGGTAGTCCCAGAAGATTATGTCACCTAGTGACAGCGTAGCCATTTTAGTTTGTGTCAGGACTCTTCAATGTCTGTGAAAAGATAGAATAAAAAGATTTCTCAGAACATATCCCCACTGTTAAGTGGTAAATGAATGTATACAGAATGATATGCCATAGAACTGCAGAAAATATCTTCTTTTCAAACAAATGAGAAACTTTGGCCAAAAAACAAGTATTGAAAATATCAAAGAATCTTTGAAAGACTCATAAACTACGAGTGCCATTGATGGTGAAAGTCTATGTGAGAGTTATTTAAATAGGAATTGGTTGAAAGTCTGTTTAAGAAGCAGGCACCCCTCCAGATTTTCTTCCTTTTCTGTACAGTGAAGCAACTACCCTTCTCAATCTGCACAGCACACTGAGAAATGGGGATAAACCTAAACAAACTCTCTCACTTCACTTTTCTTTTTCAACTTAAAAGTCAGTACTTTTGGAGATCACACATCTGGATAATACATTATTAGCTTCCCTCTAGCTTTGTTGAAGGTAACACCTTGGACATGTGGGTTATGATGGTAATGGTGGCCCTGGTTACTTTCCAGGACCTAAAGACCACTTTTGCTGAAAATTCTCACTCTTCACTTGGGCCTATAAATGTTGCATGGATGAGTGGAATCTGATGAAATGGCTTGGCATCTCTGTCTTTGTATTGGGTTTGTCCTCTTTGCTATCTTAACCCTTTGGTCAGATTCTACTCACCTCTGCATGCAAACATTGCTCACTGGAGCTGGTATGACTTTTCTTCTGCCCCACCCTTTCACCAGCTGCAGCATCCAAAGGACCTAAAGTCCTTCAACTTGTCATAAGGCCAAGATTGAACCACAGGACCAGGATGTTTGCACATAGGATGATGACACCAGCTCCAAGAATAACTCAGAAGTTCCTGGGACAAGTTGACCGTTACTATGTGGTCCAAATCTCATGCAAAGAGAAACTATGTCCCTGGCTAGTGGAAAATTACTGGTCTTTGGCCCACCCCAGAAAATCAATAAGAAGCTTTCATCTCCCTTTATTCATAGAGCAGCTTGGTTCCCTATCAGTGCTGTTTCCTTTCAGGTGAAGCCACATTAAAAAACTCTGCTTGTGTGTGTTTGCAGTATTCAGCTTGGTCTCTTCTCTACTGTTTCTATGCCAAAAGATCCTTCCTCCAGTAACAAGAGCATAGGAAGGCTGGAAGCAAGAATTGAGGAACTTTCACAGAAAGTAGAGCAAAATAAATAAGAAATGAACAAGAGAGTAAAGAATATCATATGAACAGTCCTGGAAAAACACCTGTGAATAACAGGAAAGAAGAGAGCTGGAAGGAGTGATCCATGAAAGGATTCAAGACATTTTCCAGACTGAAAAGACACATGTATCCAGGCTAAAAGGCCCAGAACAATCTATGAAAATAGACCTAAACCAAGGCATGTTATTATGAATTCTCATTTTATGGAGAAAGAGAGGAGATCCTACAGCTTCCAAAGAAAAAATAGACAGGTCATAACAACGCCAGAAGCAAGAAGACGATTGTTAGGGGGAAATGATTTTCAATCTAGAATTCTACAACACCCTGCCAGCTATTAGGAGCAAGGGCAGAACACAGTCAATATCAATCATACCTCCTAAGCAGTAGAGGATGTTCTCTACCAGAATGAGAAAGGAAGCTAAGAAAGGGAAAGAGAGTAGATGGAGAAAATAGGAGGGTCAACAGCGGAGAAAAATGAAGGGCATCCCCATGATGAAGTGAAGAGAGGTTCTGCAAGGACAACCCGGGCAGAGGATGGCCATGGGGAAAGGAAGTGCCGCGCAGGACACTGGCATACTGAGAACCCCTTGTCACCCTATTGTCATCACACCATGTTTCTAATAGGAAGAAAATATCAGAGGATGTACTCAAACAAAACGAGGAAAATCTGCAATCTTGAAAAAGGGATTCTGACCAAAAGGAAAAGTCAAAGGGAATTCTTCAAACAGTTTTGTAGCAACTCTGCAAGATGAAGAATTTAAAGGTGTGTTATAAAATGCTATGTCCAAGATAGAAGAAAGAATCTAATGTATTTGCATCTATGAACATTTGTATTGAGAGACTAGGAAAGTGTGGGAACAATGGGCCACATGTACAAATGAAAGTAAGCCAAAGCAAACAAACAAGTCAAGGCAATTATGAACTTTTTGGAAAAAAATTTTAAAATGAGGCATAGTTATAGACCAACACCAGATCATGCATTATAGATGCATTGGCATAATAACAAAACACTGAATATTGATCTAACCAAAAATTGCAGTGTAACTCCCATTACTGCAGAATGGTTGAAGGGAAGCACATAATGAAGGTGATGTCAGGAAGCTCAGTCCTCATCTATCAGAATAGAAATCAATAAAATCAATAAAAATAGCTGAAATTGAAGTAGAAAAATATAACAATAAATAAATATAACTGAGAATAGTGGCAAATACTAGAGGAAACAATAAAAGTCAAAAGGGGTTACTAATATTGAGGATTTTCATTATTATACCAATATAAATATTATTCATAGCCAAGCACTGTGAGAGGGGATCACTGGGGAGTGAAAGCAGTGGATTGCCAACTGACTAAGTGCCACCTGACTTTTTAGTATATGTGCATGTACCATCTTGGTTGAAAAGTTAATGTAAAAAACAGGGCTGGGGATGTGGCTCAAGTAGTAGCGCGTTTGCCTGGCATGTGTGGGGCGCTGGGTATGATCCTCAGCACCAGATAAAAATAAAATAAAGATGTTGGGTCCACCGAAAACTAAAAAATAAATATTTAAAAAAACAAGAAAGGAGTAGTACTGGAAATAAAAAGACATGATTAAAGATTTAAAAGGTTGAATAATATGAAAGTTATGTAATACTATAAAGAGCTTTATGCCAGTACATTTTTTATTTGACTGTTTTAAAATTTTTAAATGCCTTAAAATGTATTCTGACATAATGTTTGAATTTAAAAGTTAATGAAGTAAAACAATACCCCCTCTCCGGCCCCTGGGTGTGTTGAAGATGCACCAATATTCTCCTTTGGCATTCTCCTTTGTCTCCTGAGGACTATGCTCCACTTCCTTTCCGTATTCAATTGCAGGACAATTCAGTAAGGCACCCAAGCTCTGTTGCTGAACTCACACACCCTGCTTCACTGTACGTGGACATACATTTCAAAAGGGCTAAAAATAAAAATAGGGGGAAAACCACCTTTCATAGTTGGCAGAAGAGGATAGGCCTGATGAATTTCCAGGGGTACTTGGTCTCACACAGGAACTACGAGAAGTACAGTTGAGCCCACAAGTGCAGGATTGCACCATGAGATCTAGAAAAGCTCAAAACAGCCCAAGCATGCCCCAAGTCACCACACACTGAGGATATGACAGGACATTTTAAACTTCGTAAAAGTAGATTTTTTTTTAGAAAGTATATTTATCAGATGATCAAAGAAGAAACGGAAAGCTTGTAAAGACTTTTAGTCATTCTAGTAAATGAATCAGGAATCTAAAATCTGCCCACAGCCAACAATCACAAAAACAAAACCAAATAAAAAAACACCCATGTTCCCAGTAGTTGTACAGGAAAGTTCTATCAAACCTTCAAGTAACAGACCATCCCAACTGCATGTAAGTGTATATATAACTCAGACGTACAAAGAGGGCATAGTTCTTAACTCATTTCATAAGGCTGGCATAACCTTGATAACACAGCAAGGCTCATGGCAGATAGGAAAATTATAGCCAATCTTACTTCATGCAGTGAATGTTAAATCCCAAACAAAGTGCTAGCAAATCTAATCAAGCAACTTATTAAAAGTACATTATGTCAAGTTAACCTCAGAAACAAAAGGATAGTGTAACATTAGAAAATCTGTTAATATATTTCATTACATTAAAGGATTATTGGAGAATATTTTTCAACTGATGCATACTACTTATGATAAAAATTCTTTGCAAAGAAAATCAAGAATGGAATAGAAAGGAGTTTTCTAGTTTCCTATATACCAAAACCTAAATATTATTTTTCACACAAAAAAATGTCAGAAGCAATCCTTCTGAAGCTAGAGAAAAATGAGAAGTATGCTGTCTCTTCCAGAAAGCTAACTTGGATTATTAAACATACATTTCATGTCCTCAAGTGTAGCACTTAAATGTCCTCTGATTAATTCAGATATATAAAATTGTCCCCCTATTTTGAAAGTAAGCTCCTTGAGGGTGCCTCATGCATAAAACTTCTTTTGTACTTTCTACAGCATTTTAGCTTTATATTCAGTCCACGTCAGGTATACAGAAAACATGTTTGATTAAAGAATATCAACAAAGGGCTCCTAGAGTGTCTTAAAAAAATAACTTTCCTTTTCCTGTCTATAGAAGTAATTCATCTACATTGTAGGGTACTTGTACAATTTCACAAAATATAAAGGAGAAATTAAAACAACCGCAATCTTTCTTGCCAGAGATGACCACTATTGACATTTTGGAACATTTTTCTTCTGTGAACATTTTAACCCAATAGAGCTTATACTCCTTAGGCATAATTTTATACCTTATTAATTTCTTTTTATAGGAACATTGCCTCTTAACCAAAATTTTAAATTATGATATTAAATATCAAATTTACTTAAACATTTCCCCACTATTGTACTTTTAGGTTGTTTTCTATAAACGGTGGTATTTTTGTGCATACCTTTTCTGTTTTATTTTATTTATTTATTTTTTAATATTTACTTTTTAGTTTTTGGCGGACACAACACCTTTATTTGTATGTGGTGCTGAGGATCGAACCCGGGCCGCACGCATGCCAGGCGAGAGCGCGCTACCGCTTGAGCCACATCCCCAGCTCCCTTTTCTGTTTTAGATTTCTTTCTTAGGAAAGGCCATTAGAGTTCTGGAGATAATTTGGTTTTCTCCAACTATTATTTATATCCTTTAAAACATACTGATTTGTTTCGACTGAGACCCTGTGTCTTTTTCCCCTCTTTCCAAATTCTAGTTTAAGTAGAGTGAAAAAAGTAGAGGAGATAAGGAAGAGGAAAAGAAATAGATCAAAAGTGGACAGCACTGGGCAGAAATTAGTGTCAGGGAAGCTGTTATGTGAATTTTCCCTTCTCACCTGACTATTCCCAGGGACTCCCCCATCCATCTCCCTTTCCCTCTCCCTCTCCTGTCTTTCACCAGAAGCCTCTTATATCTCCTCTAGGAAACCACTCGAGAATAGAGAATTCTTACCATAACATTTCTAAGTTCCTATATTTTGTCTCTGTAAAAGGCTGTTTTGGTTGCTTCCTCTTTTCAGTCGATCTTTGAACATTCATGTCATAAACAGACTGAGACTCTTTCTGGCTCAGGAACACTTGTCTCTTAGAAAGTTCATTAAGGTTGTTCAAATCTGAATCAGAAAGAGTGTATATGGGTAGCTGCTGATACGGAAATCTTCTCTCCTCTTCATCTCTGCATTGTCCCCTTTCTTTATTGATATTCAGCATTGAGTGATATCCAGTAGAGTTTTTATATAATACCCTGTCAAAAGCCTGCTTTGGTGGAGCAAATATATTGGAGGTCACTTTGGGATCCTGGTTCCTAAATGCTCTTGAGTCTTGTAAATCATTGTTAGAGGCGTTTGTGAGCACAGTTGATCCATGCTTTACTGAAGCATCTATAGGCTGATTTTGGTTTTGTTGCTGTCTTGGAATGTCGTTCTGGTTTCCTTGACTGACCATGAAAGACTTGAGGCCAATCTGGCGTTTATGCTGTCTCCGAGCTTTGGGCTTGGCTGGTCTTTTGGATGGTTGCTGGCCGCTGGCTATTTCAGAGGATTGACTTCTTGGTAGATTGCTTGATTTTGTACCTTCATATTGAGACCAGTGCTCCTGGTAAATCTAAAAAGATGTTGTCAATTAATGTAAAATTATAAGATTGGCACTCTTTACACATTTTAAATTAGTGTTTTTAACTGGGAATTGAGACTTTGATTTATTTTTTTTGTACCAGGGATTGAACTCAGGGTTGCTTAACCACTGATCCACAATCCCAGACCTTTTTATTTTTTATTTTGAGACAGGGTCTTGCTAAGTTGCTTAAGGTCTGGCTAAGTTGCTGAACCTGGCTTTGAAACTGTTATCCTCCTGCCTCAGCCTCCTGAGCTGCTGGGATTACAGGTGTATGCCACCATGCCCAATAGGAATTGAGACTTCTGAGAAGGTGACCTTGAAATTGAAAACAGATATAAGAGTACAGAGGGTCCTTTCCTAACTTCAGGCAACTAGAGATAAACCGGAGTGATTCTTTCAGGAAAAAAAAAATTAGATTATGAGCCTAGAAAGAGATCAAGAACTTAGAATGGGCTTTGTATTAAAGACAAATGGGAAGTGTTACTAAAATCAGGTGTGGGGTGGGAAGAAGCTTTACTGCTAAAGAGTTGTGCAGGAAAAGAGTAGAAATCTACATCAAAATAGGCAAGCTTATTTTAACTAAATGAATATTTCAGAAATTCTAACTGGAAAAACATCAGTGATATGTTTTATTAACCAAATTCAAGTTTAATGCGAAACACTGGATTATCAGCTTTTCTTTCTCATACAGGTCAGAAGCTAGAAATGACCTCTTCACCAGATGAAACAAATTAGATTTTATTCAGAAGATTATAAAAGAGTCTGAGCTGTGATAGGGCATCTGTGAAACCACAAGGGTTGTTTTGCTTCTGTTCCTTAATATAGCCTGTACTTAGGCAATCAAACATCTGGGGGGAAAGATTTCAATTTCAGAATAGTCTTTATGCTTTTCAAAGCCTGGTAACAACAAAATGTACTCCCAGTATAATAGATACACTATGTAACTATACTGTGCTACATCGATTTAGGAATATTTCCCAAGGAATAGAGCACTCATTACTTTGTGAAAAATTGGCTGAGTTAAGAGGTCTTTGGAAGGAATGATTAAATGCTTACTGAAAACAATAAGATGACCATATGCATCAATGTGTCATACAATTGCAACTTATTTCTCCCTTTCTAAATACACATATTTAAAAAACCTGTGTCCTAGATCTATACAATATTAATTGAAAAATGAAATAATTAGATCACTGGAGAAGAAAACATACTGAAGTGAGTAAAGCATGCTTTTTGTTCAAACTGTTTCAGTTTACTACAGAAGAATAAAACCATTATTGTGCTAAGGGTTCTTTTCTTATTTCACCTTTCTGATACGGCCCCTAAGACTCATCCTGTTCCTTTATAATATTAAGTAGTGTTTAATTTCTAATGAAATCACAGTATAATGATAAGATTAAGATAAATTTAAAAGAGTAATATGTACTATTATACTGATTTTTAAGTAAGAATGACTTCTAATTAAAAATTTAGAATATTCTCTTTGGAATTTGAGCTTTCTGGGGGAATTGGTTATATGCTGATTAGTTACTATAAGCTTTTAATTTTTACCCATGGTGTTCCATAAAAAGAAAAAAACTTGCTCCTATGTTTGGGTAAGTAAGCTTTCTTTCTTCCATGAAGCATATTAAGCTGCATGGGGAAATATGGGCAAAAAGGCTCTGAATACACAACCCAAGAGCGTCCTTCCTTGCCCTGGCTCCAGAAGAAAACTGCTGTTTTACAATCTTATGGGTGTATTTGTGAAACACACTGCTCTTTTCATTGCTGTCACTGCAGTTTATGAAGGTCAGGACAGCCCTTGCTCTGCTATGATCTCTAAATACTAACTGATGTTGATAATGTCATTCTTTTCAATGTTTGTTCAGCCTTTAGCTCACTAGAGAAATAAGTGACTAGGAACTCTTTTTCTGTTACCATCTGACTGTAAATCTCCCAGTCTTCCCTCCCCATCCCCACCAAGGAAAAAATCTATCAGATATTTCATTTCTGGGCTACCAGGTCCCGAATCCTGGGCTGTCACTTGACTTTGACTTTAATCATGTCGTTACCTTTGCTGCTAATGACTTGGATCACAATCACACTCTTCACAGGGTGCTTTGTCAACAAGGCCAAGGACTCCTCATTTTATGAAACTTCAGTTGTCTCAAGTGTTAAATCCTCTGTTCAAGTAAATATAAGTGCTCGGAGATGGTATTTCAGTCTCCAGAAATGAAGACATTTGTGGGATTGATATGATTTCTTTCACCTTGCAAACAGCCTACTTGAGATCTGCAGTTTACTCAAGATTTATTACCCTACAATTGAGGCATCAGGTGTCACTCTTTAGGTGGCAGGACCTGAGCTCCCTGACGTTAATACACAAAGCCATTCTCAGGCTATTTAATCTCCATCAGCACTGAGATCCCCTATTTCATCCTACTCTCACTGGGGTTCTTTTGTTACCAACATTTGCAATCGGTACATCCTATATGCCCTCAGAATAACTGCTTAATGGCAGTGGGTTTTCACAGCACACACAGAGGGTTAGCACTGGGAAATCTTGATGCCTAATGCTGGGAGGATAATTTCTTGGTAAGACCCATCCTTAGTCATTAGTGTTTGTTCATACTGCACCATCCGAGGGAAGTTTGCCTCCAATCCTGTGAAAGCCATGTCCGTCCAAAGTAGAAAGGAGAATGTATGTTCTTATCCTGACCAGAAAGTCTATCTGCTTTAACACAAAAGCCACTCCAGCTCTGGGTCACCTTGTCTCAGCACTAGAGTCCTGAGAGTTGTACCTGAGCTCCTAGATCAGCTCGGGGGTACAGAAACCCCCATAGTGTTCTGTTTTTCTGCTGTGTTCATTAACAATAATACTCAAATCCCTGAAGCTTGAGTTAAAAATTCCATTTGATAATATTAAGAAAATTATGAGCACAGATATTAATTGGCTCTAATTATCATTGTCAGTAAGAAAGAACTCTGTTCAAGATGCATGGAAGAAGCATAGAACTATTTTTTGCATTTGCTCATTATAATTTAATACAAATTGTTACTTTAACCAATTCCCCAAGAATACTGTTATTTCCTCTTATTCTATCTCACTTTTTGTCTTATTTCTGTAGTGCATGTTAATAGTTCATATATTTTAAATTTCCATGGTTTTGCTTCTATTGGTTTGCAACACAATCTTTTGTTTTACTTATCAATATACTTATGCTTCCTGCACTTTATTCCTCCTATATTAGTGTTTCCATCTCACATTATTTTTCTTCTGTCTGAAGAATGATCTGCTATTTTTTCAGTGCAGCTCTGTTAACATGTCCCTTTTAGTTTGTTCTATTCCAACTCTCATCTAAAGATTCCAATTTGATTGTTCTTTACTTTTTTCCCTCCTATAATTAGGATGCGATTAAACTAGGACCTCATGCATGTTAGGCAAGGGCTCTACCACTGAACTGTATCCCTAGACCTTTTAAATTTTATTTTGAGACACGTTCGAAATTGTCCGGGCTGGCCTCAAACTTTCAATCCTTCTGCCTCAGCCTCACGAGTTACTGGAATTATAGGTGTTTGCCACCCTACCCAGGTCCCCTGACAAAGATCTGTTGGAAGTGCTGGAGGCAAAACTGAAATCACAGCTCTTTGAATGGTCCTACAGGCTTTCCCCCCCCCACCCGGTACTGGGGATTTAACTCAGGGGTGCTTCACCACTGAGCCATGCGTACCCAGATCTTTTTATTTTTTATTTTAAGACAGGGTCTTTGCTAAGTTGCTTAGGGCCTCACTAAATTGCTTAGTCTGGCTTTGAACTTGAGATGCTCCTGCCTCAGCCTCCTGTGCTGCTGGGATTACAGGCATGCGCCACTGCGCCTGGCCTTTCATACTTTTCCTTATTTGCAGCTGAGTTATTTTGGATTGGCAAGAAATAAAACATCCTATTTCAGCCTTGTGAATGCTTTACCTAGTTGGGAAACTTTCTGTTCTTTCTCCTGACAACATATTTATCACCCGGTATTATGGTTTGAATGTCTGTGTCTCCCCCAAAATTCATGTTAAATCTTAATTGCCAAAGTGATGGCATTAAAAATGGGGCCTTTTGGAAGGTGACTGTGTTTTGAGGGCAGTGCCTTCCTGATGGGATCAGAGCCCTTGTGAAAGAGGCCCAAGGGAGTTCTGTCAACCTTTTCTGCCAAATATGAACACTGCAAAAAGGGACCCATAGATGAACCAGGAAGCCCTTACCAGATGAACCTAACGGCTCTTGACCTTGGACTTTCTAGCCTCCCAAACTGCAAGAAATAAATTTCTGTTGTTTATAAGATGCAGTCTATGGTTTTTAAATAGTAGATCAAACTAAGACAGCTGGAAAGGATCTTCTGCCAGTGGGAGAGTGCTTCCTTTTATTACCTGGCATGGGTCATGAGCTAAGTGTCACGTTCAGTCTGGGCACACCACTGAAATGGGGCTTGCAGATCCCATGATGACTCACAGGAGAAACTGGGTGCAGTGGCACATGCCTGTAATCCCAGCCTCAGAGAGGCTGAGGCAGGAGGATTGCAAGTTTTAGGTCAGCTTTGGTGACTGACTGAATAAAACTGGGCTGGGGATGTACAGAACATGGTTAGAGCAACCCTAGTTCATTTACCAGTACTGAAAAAAAAAAAAGGATTCCCAGGAAAGCACGGAATGATTCTGGGACAATAAGACCTATGTGTAAAAGTGAAATGATAAGGGATAACTTGGCTTGAAGTAAAGATTTCAAGCATGTACAAGAATCTCACATAAAAAATGATGATTGTTCTTTTGTAATATTTGCAGATAAATTTTTGTGCCCTGTGCTGCCTCTTCTGGGACAGCCCAGATGCTGTCATTTCTGGGGAGACTCCTCAGTCCTCTTAGGGCAAAATTAGGTGCTCTTTTAGTTTCACTGCATTTTTGTATTTACTTGCATATTATTGTACTATGATGATTACATGACTGTATGACCACTAAAGTTCTGAATG